CAGATCCATGCAATTTTGTCTTTGCCGTATATTTTGCCGATTATATGTTTGTATCAAAGTGGGACATATATATAAATTGTGGGTTGACTTGGTCTATGCCTGTCTTTTGTTATTTATTCAACAAACCTTCACTATATTTATAAGGTGTCTTCTGACAGTTCTCAACTATTGAATCAAGTCCGTTTAAGACCTAGTTGGAACTCCCACAAACTCACACATATACCGTACATTGAAAAAAAGCATCCCGTGGAAGTAGCCTGTATTTTGGTGTCAAACGTTTAATTTAAAATCCTTATATGTTCAACCATTTGGCAATTTTCACAGCTCTTATTTTAAATATTCTGTAAATATTTTACCTTAGACCTAACTTCATGTAAACCTGATTTACTTAGTATACGTGTATCAACTTTCTACTTGGTAATTTTTAACCCATGTTTAAAGTCGTGTCGTGACACATTATGTTCCGGAAGTCCGCTGTACTAAAAGTAGCACTCTGGTTTTTGAAAATCTTAAATTGCATAATCTTTATCACATATATCATAAAATTGTAATGCAAGTTCAAGCACATGTAAATTTGGGCTCAGAATGGTCAAAATATATATCTCATGCAGAAAAAATGATAGTTGAAGTAAACAACACAACACCACAAATGCTATTTTATTCCAGGGCTTCTTTTACATATTCTCTAAATGCGAGTGGGTGAATTTGTAGGGAGACACACATATAAGTAGGTTGGCTTCTTCACCAGATTCCAAACTACACAGGCTGTGATCATTGGCATAAGAGCCTTGTTGAGATTTCACGATGTGTGAAAGGTAATGCCAAAGTCAAGCACAGTAAATGTTAAAACTTACCAAGAGGGGACCACAAAAGGAGATCTTTGGATTAATGGGGTATTCAGTTTAAATATATTAACAATTAGAAAGAAACTGTCAGACTTGTGCATTGTAGGGGGTTCTGATCAACAATTATCACTTTATATGCGAAACAGCTACCCTTGTCTTTATGGATGTCATCTTGCACGTATATTCAACTACATGCGGATAGCATTTATAAAGGTAGAGAACTTTTGAATTTTTGGAATACTAAGGCTTTTCTACCTCAGGAATAGATTACCTTAGCTGTATTTGGCAAAACTTTTAGCAATTTTGGTCCTCAATGCTCTTCAACATCGTACTTTATTTGGCCTTTTTAACTTTTTTGGATTCGAGCGTCACTGATGAGTCTTTTGTAGACGAAACGTGCGTCTGGCGTATATACAAAATTTAGTCCTGGTATCTGTGATGAGTTTATTTACAACCACTGGGTCGATGCCACTGCTGGTGGAGTTTTAATTCCCCGAGGGTATCACCAGCCCAGTAGTCAGCACTTCTGTGCTGACATGAATTATCATTGATATGGTCATATTCATAAATCAACCCCGAGGGTATCACCAGCCTTTTTAACTTTTTTAGTCCTGGTATCTATGATGAGTTTATTGGGATTCTCGGCTAGTTACATTCCCACCTTCTGAAGGCCTGGTTGAATGAATGAATTATAATTGCAAAGCAGTAGTTACATGCTATAGTAACACAAACATATTTACATTGTGACATAATAAACAGCTGAGAATTATATTTTAAAATAGTACAATAGGTGGAACAATATTTTAAGATAGTACAATAGACAAACAATTAACTAAGTAGATGTTACCTAATCTGCCAAGCGGATTTCAACTAATAACACAATTTTCCAACTGATGATCTAATATATGATAATGGACAAAAAGTTAACGATGGTACTGAAGAATAACAACTTCATCTTTAATAGAGATTGCTATAAATAATTAACGAAAAGGCAATGGGTATCAAACTGGCCCAATCTGATATAAACATGTTGATGGGTAAATTAGAGAAAACAACTATATTCTTCTATCGAAAAACCGCTTCCTTGGTTTAGATTTACAGATGAAGTGGCCATGAAATGTAATAGAATTTGACACATTAATCACTCATATCAACAACATTCTTTCCAGTATCAGTATTTAAATCCAAAGGTACCTTACTTATTACTTCCAGCTCTCTAACCGATGACATGATATATACAGATCTGTGTTCAAGCCTCATGGCTTTTGCCAAATTTACTACCCTGCTGATTGAACTAAAACAATGAAAATAACACCCTACAAATGAGTTGTGTACGAAGCGCTTTTATGGGTTTATATTTTATCAGATATGCTCATACCCACAAAAGTTAAAGCTACTGATGTATACTGCCTTAAAAAGTTCTATGATCAAATGGGGCCTGAAACTAAGAATAACAAAATCCATCTAACGTCAGCTTTGCCCAAGGTTTTTGTTTTGTTTTGTTAATGATTTATCAATTTGTCAACGGATGAAATCTTCACATAGAGTCAAACGAATATGTTTCAACAGAGAAACAACTAATAAACGACTGATTCAACTCGAAGAGACGATTTTATAAACATCGATACTTATACATGGATCTACCGTTTTTTCTTATATTATTTCGATACGACATGCGACATAAGTCTTTCTTTGAAGACGCCAAACCAAAACATAGTGAAAGCCTTGGAATGTTCATTAGCAGCTATTAATTTCTGGGGTATGTAAACGTGCATATCTACAATTTCGTCTTTTATAAATGATACCTGACTAGAGGGTAAAAAACGGTCATTGTTATTTTATGTATTAATTGTCATTCTCATCTAAAAACAAGACAATACCCGGGTCTGGACCTGCGTCAATGCATGCAATTGATTGAGGTAATATGACTACTGGACCATAACTGATTATTCCCTTTCTCTGATGACTTGCTTATTGCTTATTCACTACAATTCAACATATCAAAATGCAGACCAAATATTAAATCATTCCCTTTCATAGAAGCGAAGACAACTCGGACGAAAATTTCCTTTTACAACGAGTGTCGTAAAATTTCAAACTATATATATCCGCAAAAAGTAAGTGGCTACATGGCAGATGTAATATAAGGCTGCAGAACCAAATATCAAATCATTCCCTTTCATAGGAGCCAAGAAAACTTTGACGAAAATTTGCTTTTAAAATGAGTGTTGTGTAATTTCAAACTATCGGCAAATAGGAAGTGGCTACATGGCAGACGTAAACATTGCTTACTCGCTACAACTCAACATTATCAAGCTGAAGACCAAATATTAAACCATTCCCTTTCATAGAAACCAAGAAAACTTTGACGAAAATTTCCTTTTACAATGAGTGTTGTGTAATTTCAAACTATCGGCACACAGGAAGTGGCTATAAGGCAGACGTAAAAATTGCTTACTCGCTCCAACTCAACATTATCAACCTGCAAACCAAATATTAAATCATTCCATTTCATAGAAACCAAGAAAACTTTGACGAGACGGACAGACGGAGTCGAGCGGTTACAAAATTGCTTCCTCTTTCGGCGACGCAGATAGAAATTCAATCACCCAAATCGGGCGTATGACATTTGCGCCGATTTTATAAATTTTAAATCTTTCATTTGCGCCGATTCAATAATTTCAATTTCCATTTGCTCCTTTTTGCATTTTAGTGCTGTGCTTTTTTCATGGCGTAAAGAGGTTTTATTGTTCTTTGATATTTTAAAGGCTGTAAATAGATTTTTATATCATTTGATATTTTATTGCTATACTCAGTTATTTTAGTGGATGTAAACAGAGTGCTTTTAACCTTAAACTTGACTTGTTTTGCTCGAAATCCTACTTCCACCTCTCCATTGTGGGCAGGGAGCAACAGTTAAATATGCATGTTTTAATTGATAATTCATAACACATGTATAACTGGCTAGCGGAAGAGGTTTATAATGATAAATAAAAATAGTTTTCACCTGTAATTTACCTGAAAAACAATCGGCGCAAATGAAAGAAATAATCGGCGCAAGTGAAAGAAAAAATCGGCGCAAGTGAAATGCAGATCAGCGCAAATGCAAAACGCCGCCCAAATCGGTTCGTGAAAGAAGAAAGTACATATGAAACAACCAATTAAGCAATCAGTCGAAGTAATTCAAATAATACAGAGGCTTTAAAAAAAGACAAACAAAAGTCCACAAAGTACTACGCATAAAACCATAGATTGAACAAAATATACTTTGCCAGAAACTCTGGGGCCTCCAGAGGAGTAAAGAGGTCCTTGTCCACTAGTTGCATGTGTCGTGTTGATTACGGCAAGTAAAAAAATCCGTTAAGTAGTCACAAAGGTGATATCACAATAAAGGGAAAGAGGGAAGGATTGTGGTAATCTGTATTTTTAGATACTAGTATTGAGTAATGGTCCAACAAATCATTACGGTGTCTATAAAACTTTTGAAAAAACGACCTCATCTCTACCATTAAGAACCTTTTGTTCGAAAGCTACCGTTGGGACAACTATATATCAAGGAAGCCATCATATGAAACAATAGCCCTTGAGTCTATCAACTGGGATATTCGTGACTCAATTTGCAGGGGCTTCAAGTTAAAAAAGTATTTTAGGCAGAGTAGTTGCGTATAAGGTAAGAAGTAAATTGGTTTTTGTATATTTAATTGCACGAGGATGGGTGCGTTGATGGTATGTAGAACAGAAACTTTGAAGTATTATTTAGTATGCGCATCTTGTAAACACCGTCATATTTAAGTAGTTTCGTAGCATATTCGGATTTTAATTTCTGATGAAAAATTTGTTAATAATTTAGAATGAGAGAGAATTTGGCAGACCCAGGAATGTAACATTGATGATAAACTTACAAATTATTATGAATTTAAGATTCAAAATCCCTCGATAAAGTTTGTTTTTGACATTCTTTTAGGTCTATTTCTCGCCACATAGCTTATCAAATGGTTGACATCACATGTTTTCAAATGTTTGGTTTTGAACGTTACTGACGAAGGTTAATCCAGAAAACCGCTTATGAAGCACCAAATTTATAAAACAATGTTTGCATATTTCATTAGACTGTTTCGTGCAAGGTTTCCCTGTACTCAACTATTACGTAACTCATTACATATATAAACTATATTAAACCTAAAATTCAACAATGGTTAAAATGTTACAAATTCAAGTTAACTACATTGATGATATTAATGATACAAGCAAAGACATTTTAATATCATATATACTATACATCTTTGATACAACGAAACTGCCGTAGTTAATTCATATGACTACGATGAGGACATATTATTTAAAATTGATATTTAACTAAAAATCAATGAGAAATAACATGAAAATTATTTGTTCACTTTTGATATTCAATATGAATGTGTATCGTACAAATGATATTACTTTTTAACTTTTTGAGGATTTACTTTCTATTTAGTCTCAAGTTAAAAGTAGCTGTTCTGTTTAAATGCGATTGTCAAAAAAAACAAAACTAAATTGTTACATGGATGAATGTCATATTTGGCAGTACAAAAATCCAACAATAGCTGAAAGTAATAGAAACAGCATATTTAGAGTAAGAATTGGTGCAGCACTTATACTGGGATCATACGAGATTTTGACAGTACGAGAATTGATACTCTGAGTTGAACGGTAATTTTTTCCTATTGCTGTTGCTCCACTTGTGTCCTGGTAACTGAGTCTGATCTTGGCCAACTGAAAAATAAACGAATAACCGTAGTATAAATACATTTTTCCCGTGTACTAAGGAGTGACAAAATCATGACATTAATTCTTTTTGTTTTTGTTTAATTTAAAAATAATAAAACAAAACAAAAAATTATTTACCAGTTTAAATAAATTATCAAATGTAATTCAATTCTTATGCAACGAGTTTCTCAATCTGGTGATGTAAAGGAAATTATTGAACCAATACATGCATGCACAGAGAATCGCTCCAAACATTTGCTTACCAGGTGGGAGGTGGGTGTTTTTTTCAAAATCCTGGACCTGCACCTGATTCATACTAAACTTAGTCCTCTGTACAAGTTTATTCTCAAACATTTATTACGAACACAAAACGTATAATCGATAAAAAAAAAAAATTCATTCGGGGATTGTGGATCGAAAACTTTGTCTGCTGATTAACTTTCTGGTTTTGTTGCCAAGGTTTATCGGCCGTGACCTTGACAAACAATCAACATAGAGTCATGAAGCACGTGAAAAAATAAGTTAGATGATAGTGATGTTAACTTGGACTTTTCTTTTTCACGTTTGTTTACTTTTGCCGAGATGTTTAATGGTTAAGGTCACTGCACACGGAAAAGCTGTCGGTGTATTAGAGAACGGGAAGCAATTAATTAGTTGGCAGTACATATCTGAAAATTTGAATAAAAATACAGAATTTTCTTTTAAATGAAAATCTATGAACTCGTGTTCTATAGGAAAACCTACCCATTTATGTATATAAAACCCATTCATCTTTATTTTTAAATAAGACGGAGCAATTAACTTTAATTCAAATATTTCGAAGGGTTGCACACGGATAAAACTGACGGTAAGGAGAACAAAATACAGAGAGATGCCTACAAAAGGGGGAGTCAAATATTGTTCTGTATATATGACTCGCAAATAATTGAACCAATAATTACTTACTTGAACACTAGAGATGCGAATTTTCTCAGTGAAAACTGTCCACTGAACAACTTCGTTACAACCTGGTGTTGTTAAACCTCCACTGTATCTCACGAACAATGATGTATTCACATTTTGAAATATTGCGTCAATTACAGGTGGTGATGACAAGGTAGCGTTTTGATCTGAAAAAAAGAGGGGGATAATTACATGAAGTTCTCTGTCTCCAATTTTCATTCTTTACTTAAATATCTATACTTAATTGGTGTTGAAACAGTTAGACATTTCAAAATTTACCATTACATATGTTTTCTCAATCAAATAAAATTACAGCGAGCTACCATAATAAAAAGTATTTACAGCCATTAACAGGAGATGAACAAAGTAACATTGTATTTATAACATTAACAGTACCAGTTTTATTGCACCAGATGCACATTTTGACAGTTCGACAATTAAAGTCTCTTCAGCCAGTGATGCTCGAAGCCAAAAATTGAAAGTAAAAAAATACTACAAACATTTCATACAGCTTATCAAATCAAAAGGGACAAAAATTAAAGTTAAACTCGGACAATGAATCAGAGCTATTCATGAGGGAGATTCATTGCTTAATTCTAAATGATTACGAAATTTTATAACAGTAAATTTGAATAGAACAATATTCGTATTTTCATACCAGTACCAAAGTATTGGCAACTGGGCTGGTGATACCCTCGTCGACTAACAGTTCACCGGCAGAGGTATCGAATGGTAATAATAGCATTAACAATGCCAATTTGATTGCACCATTCGACAATTAATGTCTCTCTAAAAGTAATACGAAACTGGTCTAGGAATCAGAGCTATGTACGAACTGATCAAATCAAAAGGGACAAAAAGTAAAGTCAAACTCGGAGAAGGAATCAGAACTATTCATGAGGGGGATTCATTCCTTAATTTAAAATGATTTCAAAAATTCATAACAGCTAATTTAGATAGAACAACATGCGTAAGTTCATGCAAGTGCCGAAGTATTGGCGACTGGGCTGGTGATGCCATCAGGGATTTACAGTCCACCATCAGAGGTATCGACCCAGTGCCGAAGTATTGGCTTCTGGGCTGGTGATACCCTCGGGGATTTTCAGTCCACCATCAGAGGTATCGACCCAGTAGTAGTAATAACATTAAAGGTATCAACTTTATTGCACCAGACGATCATTTCGACAGTTGATGTCTCTAGAGTGATGCTCAAGACCAAAATATGTTTCAATCAAAAATTACTTTGGATATAAAATATACATTGATTGAAACCGTATACCTTAAAGGAAGTACCAAATAAGGAATGTAAAAGCTTTCAACAGCTTCATGCACACTAAAATAATTAATTGGATACCTTTAGTAAAGTATAGAATTGGCTGAGAGCAGTAAAATCGGCCAATATCATTTTCATGGCTTTATAAAACTGAATGTTGGGTCGGTCAGTATATGAAAAGAGCTTTCAGTAGAACAGTCGAGATAGTAAAAAAGTTAATTTAACATTCGGCGCCTTTATTCCCGTCAACTAACGTGAGATATACCGAGGATTAACATGTCAAGCTTCTATACTAAAGTTAAAAACATATATCAGCTGGCTTTTGTTTCCACATCGAGAAATTAATAATATAATACTTTATAATGACTTCATAAAAATGTTTTTACTTAAAGGGATTGCAAAATCAGGATAAACGGAATGAATGTTGAACAGATTTAACTTTGATAAGGTTTGAATTGACAGTGAATTCAGTCTGTCCTTACCATAAGTTGTTTTACAAAAAAAAATAATTAAATAAGGTGGTAATCTGACAATAGACTATTGAATAGGGTCATAATTTTGCCTAGCAACACGAAAACTGGCAATCGCCTATAGAGTTGTTAAAAGGATCCTGATGTGGGCCTCGAAACGCTGCTGCAGTTTTGTTCTCCAAATACCGACTAGACATTACTGCGTATTGGTCAATATGATGGCTATTAGTGAAAAAGATAGTCCAATAATTGAAATTGATGTATAGAAACAACATGTTTCATACAGAACGTAACCAAAAGTTAGCGTGCAATAATGTATCATATTACACTAGTGCAAATAAAGCTTCATATAAGTGACAAAAATATTTTTTAAACAGTATTTAAGTTTTTGATATATAATACAAGAGTTGTTGAATGAATTGTGGTGAATGTTATCTCTCGTAGAATAAATATTGTAGTTGTTAGCGCGTACAATATCCCCCATCATCAAGGATATCGAGTAGGGTTTTTTTATCAGGTATTCACCTTTGATCAGTTGTTAACCATCTTTTAAAATCTTAAATGAGTTCGAATATGTCCAAAATGATAATAATGAATTAATAAAATAAAACTTTTTTTTTTGAATCGGAACCACTTATTGACCACTGAATGTAAAGCAAACAACAATGAATCAATGAATCGATTCTTGACAGTTATTTAAATCAATGGTGAGATTCATTCGTTTTTGTTGGTTGAAGGTATTCTTTTTTTACATTGAGTAACCGCATGTATAGAATAGTGAGCTCTTTCACATGACAACTTTTGTTGTTTGATAAAATTCTTACCTTTCTTTGCAACGCTAGATATTGCGTCAAGGAAGGGATCAAGGTATGCGTTGTCTGATGGATATACCTGTAATATTAAAGAACTTTTCTCACTTTTTATATCGAGCGTACCAGATGGAGGGTGTTCTCCCTTTTTATATAGAGCGTACCAGAAGGAGGGTTTTCTACCTTTTTATATCGAGCGTACCAGATGGAGGGTTTTCTCACTTTTTATATCGAGCGTACCAGATGGAGGGTTTTCCCAGAAACACGTGTCATGTGGACAGAAAATCAAATGTTCGTGTCATTCTTTGTTTGACTGAAACTGATTTTACAGTTGTTATATTTCAAATCTATTTTCATTTTTGAAAATGTGTGCATATAGAATACGAATATCAATGTAACTGCATGGGAAATATTATGACTCTTAACGACAAAAAAGATTAAAAAAAGCACCTGATCTGCAAAGAATTCCATCTACATTCCATCATACACCATGCAGTGTGTTACAGCCCAAAGGCATCACTTGATTAATGGAAGTTGTATTTTTTATATAGCTTAGTTCTCTGTGATCTAGGGCTGTAGACACAGTGAACGCAGAGTTGCAACGATGTCATGGGTATAAATTCGGCTGATGGTTAGCTAAAAAGTACTACTGCAAATATTAGGCCAAATTCCAGACGAAGTTTAAGTAAATTGTGACGTTATCCTGTATAGGAAAATGTCTTGCGTAAAGTTGTCACATATTCCGACATATGCTTAATTAAGAATACTTCAAACTAGGAAAGTGTTACACATTGAAAAATAGTTTATTTAGTGACCCAGATAAATATTGTATTGCTTTTGCAAAAAATGAAGAATACCTCGAAAAAAAATCCAAGGACAGCTAGTCCATCGGCGGTTCCTGCTGCAGTACTAAGGTCACCTAATGACTGTTTGTAATGTACAAAATGAATCTGCAAATGTATAATTATATATATATGTAAGTCTAAATTGAAAACAACGTTCAAACCTATGATTGCGTTGGATAAAAACTGCAATTTTTATACGTGTGCATGCAAAACAATTTCCTTGGTAGATGGGTCTAAATACAGCACAAACAACATTTTCCAAAAGACCAAAAAAGTGAAAAAGTATATGTATATACACCTTAACTTGTGTTACAAAGTCTAAAGTTAAAGGTGGGTGTTATCCCTTTTTCATTTTTACCTCAATACCAAAATCTTATAAGGTCGTTAAAAAAAAGTCATCACGAGAGTTAATTGCGTAAGCATCCATGCATCTCCAATTATAACCATTAATCTAGGCCTCCACTGAATTCTAAATCAAAATGTGTTTATGAAGAGATGCATTTATGATATGCTACTGACTAATAACTTTTGATATTTGAAAGATTATAATTAAATTCAAAATAAAGCATACAAAATTTACAAAAATAATGCCATAACCAACTGTTTATGTATGTCGACCTAAAAAATATAAACTGATCATTTTGGTTCCCATTGTAGTTGGCAGTTATTTCTAGAACTAATACAAGGTAATTATATTTAGAAATTATCTCATTAACCTTTGCAATTCAACTGACATGAAATAATTGCTTTCTTACTTCAAGCGGAGACCTGTTTCCATCAACTGTGTGCTCGGATCCCGTTGAATCTGATGTTCCCCAGTGGAAATGAAACTGTGCCAATATAAACGGTCCACCGTCTAGTCCACCACCATTCAAAGTAACGGTGTCGTCTGCCATATCAACTTGAACTGAAGAGAGGATTAGTACCGCTTTGTCATACATTTGAAAACTTCAATTCTAATATGATATTAATCAAGTTTAAACAAGACTTCCACATTCGTAATAATTTAATATCAATACTAAGATAACTAATAAACATATCCAAAAATTATTTTATACCAAGGATTTTTATATGACTTACTTTCAAAAACTTTGTCTTTACTTGTAGGGCTGATGTTATAATTGTTCCAGGTACATATTATACATATCGGACTGATAGATGTAATAATAGTCCTAAGTACATACTATACATATTGGACTGATGGATGTAATTGTTGTCCAAGTATATATGGGACTGGTTGATGTAATAGTTGTCCCAGGTACATATTATCCACATGAGACTGATGGATGTTATAATTGTCACAGGTACTTATTATACATATGCGACCGATGGGTGTAATAATTGTCCCAGGTACATACTATAAATATGGGAATGACGGATGTGATAATTGTCCCAGGTACGTACTATCATATGGGACTGATGGATGTTATAGTTGTCCCATGCACATATTATACATATCGAACTGATGAATGAAATAATTATCCCAGGTACATATTATACATATGGGACTGATGGATGTTATAATTGTCCTAGGTACGCACCATCATATGGGACTGATGGATGTTATAATTGTCCTAGGTACGCACCATCATATGGGACTGATGGATGTTATGATTGTCCCAGGTACGTATTATACACACGAGACTGACGGATGTAATAATTGTCCCAGGTGCATACTATACATATGGGACTGATGGATGTTATAATCGTCACAGGTGCGTATTATACATATCGGATTGGTGGATGTAATAATTGTCCCGGGTACATATTATGCATATTGGATTGATGGATGTTATAATGGTCCAGGTACATTCTATATGTTTTCTGTCATTCGATTTTATTAGACCAAGGATGAGCTGCGATTAGGATGTTTTTCAGTCCATCAAGAATTCGATTTAAATGTGCATCAATTGTGATTACCACAAGTAAAATTTAATATTTAATTTTATAAACTCAACGAACTGCGCGTGTTCTGGTCACATGCTCACGTTAAAAACTACAACCATAACACAGTAACATTCGTTTGATATTTTGATACTATAAAGAACATAGTTTTGAAATATTACATTTGACCTCATTTGAGAGATTAAAAACCAAAAGGACCAAAATAGAACAGGCAAAGCTGTCTGAGGAAAATTTTGCATTTGGAAGTTGCAAAGTTTAAAAACAATTATTCTACAAACTGTAATACTACGATCAAAATAATAACTTGAATATTCCAAGTAACAAAATACTGACTGGATGGTACCCTTGTAGACTGATAGTCCAACAGCAGTGGTAACGTTTCAGATGTATGATACCGCTTTTCGTTACTTACTTGTATGTCCGTTATTCTTAATAACTCCATATTTGCTGTCATCGTCATAGTTTGTAAGGACAAACTCTCCAAGTGAAGTGTCGACTGAAGCTGACGAAAGAACTATATTGATTGGTGACTGCTTAGTGCCTGTAGAACAAACTCCTGTTGTCCAATCTAAGACAAAAAACATATATGTGACAACAGGACTGCAAAATAAAAAGCACGCGGATTTGCTTAGACTATTGAAAATTTTAATTGTTTCCTCATTACTATAAAAACTCTTCATCATTCCAAACATGAATAAACTCCACAATAATATCATTATTATAAAAATAAGAATCGCATAATCAGCTATAAAAGGCCTTGAAATGACAAATGTAAAACAATTCAAACTAGAAAACTAGCGGCCTGATTTATGTACAAAATAACGAACGAAAAAAATGATATACAGCAACGAACGACAACCACTGAATTACAGGTTCCTGACTTGGGACAGGCACATACAAAATGTGGCGGGGTTAAACTAATTTGAAGGCGCCAATCCTCTTAGGACGGTGTGTGGCAGTAGAACATAAGAACAAACTATCTCATCAGATCGATACAAAGCAGAAACGGCGATTTTATTATTTTATTTCTGTTTTATGTTTCATTTATATTTTCATAGATAAAATAATATAACTGCTTACCATCTCCGTTACTGTCATAATTATAACCTGTAATTATAAAATGTAAATAGTAAACATTAACTAGAAAGTCAGTTATGCAATGATATATTATACTGAAGTAAAATATCCCGGTTAGTCATGCAATCTAATTGGTTACATTGACAGGGGATACCGGTATAAGCCCATATCCCCTGCGTACAAAAAACGGAAGATTTGAATGTTAATTGAGGTTGAAAAAGTGACACTCAAGTATATTGCAACTGTTTTTCGGACTTGATAGGAGATGAAGGCTCATACTCCATATCAACGGCATATATCTGAGTATACGAGCCCATATTCATTTACAAATCTCGAATAACATATAACATAAAACACTTTTGAGTATAAAGAACATCAAACAGTTGACTAATTCAGGAAAATACATTTTTACTGCATGAAAATCGGAGACAACATTATAAAATGAACATTCCCTATATGTTTACTTGTTTACTTTACAATTTTATATTGATACTAATGAACATTAAAGTTCGAGGTAATAAAGATTTTTAGAAATATTGAAAAAATCAGAGTTCCACGCATTGCATCATCATATAAAAGAGGAATAGAGTCGAAGAGGAACATCAAAGGTTTTAACAAATTGTAACAAATCGATTATTAGTGATTTGGGAGAAGCATATATCTTTATGACGAAAATTCCAAAGAATTGTGAGAATGAAGTCTCATTATTCATTGATATGTCACTTGCGTTATTATTTCGCTAAAAATTTGTGAAAGACCTGAACCATGAAAACTGCATATCTATTTCTTATTTCTTTTAGTTCATGGAAACAATACCAATTCTGATTACCAGTAACACAATTTACATTATATCTGTTCAATGTTGGAACCTTTTTTTACAATTATCAAAATATTCCATTATGGCGTTTCCACGTTTATTTTTATGTATATATTGGTTTTAAATTGACAATTATACATTGATGAAAATATTTATCGTAGAAATAAATATCTGTAATTACTGATTTCAAAAATAATGTTCAATATTTATCTAAAATTTTAGATCATTTGAGTTTTCTTCGGACGAATGAACGCAAAGCATTTAATATGATCAAAGACCATTAGTGAATATGTAACGGTGTATATTTCAAAACTGTTTTATGAAGTTATATATATTATTTAGATCCAAAGGAGATAAAACAAAATACCCTATGACTTCAGCACTTCATACAAAATGGGCTTCGGCCAACGCTTTTACTTCAAGAAAAAGTACCCCCCAAAAAGCATTCAATTCTTAAATAAAATAAATTGCGTCTTTTGCAATACTTTCATCACCCGCCATTCAAATTCACATATAGTCAAAAAGTCACGATCGGGACGCAATCGAATGAAATATCGATTAGACGACTGTTCTGGTTTCTAAATATCTAAGACTGCGAAAACATGTTACAAGTGAGTTAAACAAAGGTATGTAGTATCGGTCAACTAATTCGTGACATTGACCGTAAAACTAATATAGTGTCGATTCAATTCATTTTTGTTTCAAAAGATTCTTGTAACTTTATTAAGACCGGTTTTTATGCAGTACAATAGATGAATACATGTTTTTGTTACGCATTCAGAGAGGCTTTAGTTGTAAAGGACATATTTGAATAAGATTGTTAACCCCTGACAATAATTCATTGTCGCTTGTGACATAAAAAATGTAAATATTATATGCTCTGATTAATTTGTAAATTATATATATAATAGTTGGCATTGACACATTTTTTTGAATTAATCTATATTTTTTTATATTAAAGAAAATTCAACTATGTTCAAAGTAAAATATATTCATTAAGATCAAGTCACCGTAAATGAACCGTGTCATAGAAAATCTACACTTGGGCATGTTGAACTCTTAAAGGGGCATTAGCTACGATAACGATAAAAAAAAAATTAAAATACAATTCTTTTTGTTTCAAGTTTTAATAAATAAATTTGGTGTATTTACTGTCTTCTGATTGGTCAAAAGTATTTTCTTTATTTTCAATGTTGTTAATTGTTATGGCGACACGCCCACTCTCACGTTGTGTATTCATACGCCAACATGTGTGTACGTTGTTAACTTATTGTTAATATAAAAAATATAAAAAGCTCTTTGAGCCTTATTTTTGATAGAAATTTATTTATAATGAATGACAATAATTTATTTTGAATTTATTGAACCATAAAATTAATTTTTGACTCTTCACATTTTGCATAATCCGCTTCGCGGATTATTCAATGTGAAAAGTCAAAAATTAATTTTTTGGTTCAATAAATTCAAAATAAATAATAGCCATTCATTAAATAAAAGCGGAATTTTAAAATAATATTTTGTTGTAAGCAGTCAGTTTGGCCCAAATTTGTCAAAATAAGCAACAACAAAAACATGGTTGATGTATTATTGACTTGCAATTCAATCATTTCACCTCATGGAATGCGTATGCATGTGACCTTCAATTCAACTAGAGATGAGTTACACGTGTTCTATGCGTGTTCAATTATTAAAAATGAAAAGAAAGTCAACATTGAAAGTGGAACAAGGGTGAAGCATTTGGTTGACTGATTCGATCTACAAAAAATCATTCTTATTCTGGAAAAACGATAATTTATATAGTTTTTTTTTAATCTAAAATATGAAATCAAACAGACCTGGAAAATCCAATGTACGTGCCTGCTATCTTTATATATTTATATTTATGTGTCTATCGGTTCATATGAAAGTATTTTTTCATGAATAATCTATGCAAAATTGGGCAATTTGGACAAATCTCCATTTTGGCAAAGTATAAGGAATTTCTATAGATCTGAGGAAATTAAAGTGCCTTCAAAATACAGAAAACCAGGTTTGCTGCCAATTTGACAGCTCATTTCTTGTTTATGTATTTTTGCAAATACTGCGAATAGACAAAAAAACATTTGCTATTTTTCAAAAAATACAAGCTACAGATTAATTGTGGTTTGTAGACGTAGTTTGTCTTTTGGACGTTTTTCGATTTTTGCCATGGCGTTGTTTGCTTGTCTTCGACTAATGAGTTTGAATATCACTTAAAGGGGCATTAGCTTCGAGATGTAAAACAATTAAAAGTATGATTTGCTTTGTTCAATCATTAATGAAAGTGAAATAATTAGCAGCCAGTTTGGTTCAATTTGGTCAAAATGAGATAAGAAACATCGCTGATGAATTATTCACTAGCAAGTGAATAATTCGACCTCATTGAAACCGTATCCATCTGACCTTCTATTTAACCCCTTAGCTAGAAATGGGTTACACGTGAACTAGGCGTGTTCAGCTATTAAAAGGAAAAGAATGTCAACATTAAAAGTGAAACAAGGATAAACCATTTGGTTCACTGAATCGATCCACAAAAACTCATTCTCATACAGGTAAAAACGATGATTAACATATTTTTATAACCTACTAGTATAAATTGAAATCAAACAGACCTAGAAAAATTCAATTGCACGAGTTCGCTATCTATTTATATCTATATTTATGTGTATATTGGGTTATATGACCGTCGGCTGTCTTCGGATGTCACCTCGATGGTTAATTAGATGGCGTCTAGACTAAAATACACACGAAATACTGATACATATTACCGAGTACATGCATTGTAAATTGCTTATGTTAGACCTTTTTATAATTTGGATAGACGTTTTAGTATGTTATAAATCAAATATGAGAATATGAGTCAAATCGGTAAACATGAATTTGACAGCTAATGCCCCTTTAAGTATCTTTCGCCTCTCTTTTACACAAGGCGTTTACATGCAAACTTGTGATTTTGTTTCAATATTTGTAGATTTTTTTTATATTGGTTGATTTTCATAATACATAGCTTTCAATGCTAATGAGTGCTACCAAGACAAATAAGCTTTTGTAACAATGCATCATCGGTCAATAAAAATGTTAAAAGCAAGTCAGAAAATCAATTCAGTCTTTATATTAAATTAGATTCCAGAATAGTCATTTGATTTGTAATTGTACCGATTGTGACATTTTGACTGATTGTTGATTTGCACTGCAGGTGATGTATGCACATCAGTAGACGATGCATCGGTCTCATTCCTTTTGGAGTTCATGCGATACCTTGATTTGTATCTTCTTAATCGATATATGAAATTGAACAACGATAAACTATTGTTGCATAAATTTACTTATCACCAGTGTCCGTTATACACGTACATCTTATCATGACACCCTTTATACATGTACATTTTATCATGACATTCACTTTACATGCTATACTGCTTATGCTGTCATATGATTTTGACACTGCTTATTCTTAAGCTTAATGCAACTTTACTGATAATACTAGAAAAATGTAAAACATTCTGCTGTGATTTTTTATCTGTACGTAAAGCAAATGGAAGTGCTATATGCAAGGATAAACAAATACAAATAGAATAGAGAATGGAAACGGGAAAAAAGTCAGCAACCCGACCAAAGAGCAGAAAACAGCCCAGGCCACCAAAGGGTCTTCAACGCAGCGCGAAATATCCCACAACAGGAGGTGGACTTCAGCTGGCCCATAAACAATAATGTATACTAGTTCAGCGAAATGGACGCCACATTAAACTCTGAAACATACAAATGAACGAATATTTTAGTTACAGCTCTAGAACTAAAATGTATTTGCATACACGCATGAAATAACGTTGCATTTGCGATAAATATTATAGTATTTGTTATATTTATAAGATGTTCACGTTATCAAAATTTCTTTTTAACTTTTAATACACCGCTTAAGTGAATCTGTAAATGATGTTCAATTTATATATAAACGATTACAATGTCAGAGTACTTTGTTAATGAATTCCATGCGAATCTTTGATTGGTCAATGGCTAAAATAGTTCTTTTATGTGTTTCAAAAAAATCTTTGTTCAGACCGGTTTTTATGCAGTACAAAAGTTTAATACATGTTTTTGTTTTTGAATCTTTTAAACTTAAAGAGGCTTTAATTGTAAAGTAGGTATTTAAATAAAATAGCTTACCCATGATACCCATGCTATTAACGCATTGTCG